GGAAAAAATCTATCATATTTAGGACAAAGCAAATAGTGTTCTTAGCTGTTTTTATTTTTTTATTTTTCCATTTATTTTTATTAGTTGGAGGCTAATTACTTTACAGTATTGTAGTGGCTTAGCTGTTTTTAAATCCCTATGTAATCTACAATAGCTTGATAAGGATTTTAAACCACAAAGTGCAGTCCAAATAGAAGAACAGCACTTATATAAACCAAATTTGATTTAAATAAGCTTGTTAAAGACCTGTTCAATTGATCACTCATGAACTGTTTACATATTGTTTCTAAATTAGTTTCACGTGTATTCTATTTCATCAGCTAGCTCATATAACTCCAACCTACTCCAATCTCCTTTCTTAAGATATAAAGCCACATAAATTTATCTCTTAATAATTTTACATATATTAGCTTTCTTTTCCAGCCCCCTAAGGACATGCTAAACTCCTCAAATGCAAGGATTTTGTCTTAAATGTCAACATCTCTGATACCCCATAATTATAATGCTTCTCAAGGTTCAATGCTTAGCCCAGTTCTCCTGTCAAGCTGTATATATTGTTCATATATGTATTAATATATGTGTGTATATATATATCAATATCTTTCTCACTTTTACTTCATTTCCTATACATTAGTATATGCTGGTGACATCCAAACCCTCAAAAACTTTCAACTTTCTTCAGAATAACCTCCAAACTCCTTAGTGGGGTTATCAGAGTTGTTTGCCATCTTCCCCACCTTTTATTTCTAGCCCGAGCGTCACATGTCAACACACCAATTGCTCAAATCTAATCTTCCACACCTTACATCTGCAGTTCCCAACCTTTTTGGCACCAGGGTCTGGTTTTGTGGAAGAAAATTTTTCCACAGACTGAGGCAGGGGGAATGGTTTCAGGATGATTCAAGGGCATTACATTTATTGTGCTTTATTTCTATTATTATTATATCAGCTCCACCTTGGATCGCTGGGTATTTGATCTGGGAGGTTGGGGACCTCTGCCTTACACTGTCATACTTCCAGGACCCACTGTCTTTTAGTTTTCTCTCCAGCCTATGAAAAAAGTCTGTTGATCTTTTAAGGGCTGTGTGAAAAGTCATCTTCTTTATGGAGTCTTTCTTATCAGAATCAAGTTCTCCCTTTGAAGTGTTTGATGTTATATCAGTTATCATGACTGGACTTACATGCTGCCTGGAGACATGTCTTTCTCTCCTGATACTACTTTTTTACATTGAAGACTATTTTATTTATATGTGAATTTCTGGACAAAGAACATATTTGTATGCCTTTCACCTTATACAGCATAATCACTCAATAAATCTTTATTTGACTGAATTAGTCTCACTCTCCCCATGACACCAAAAACAGTGTGGGCACACAGCAGTTATCAATCAACAACAAAAAATGTTGATAGGACATAAGTTCTGGAAGGGAGGATTCAAATACTCAATGACTGATTTTAGTGACAAACTAAAGTGATAAAACTTGATAAAAAAAGGTTTATCCTTTAAATTGATCATATACTGAAGTAATAGACATTTTAATATACCAAAACAATCAACTGAATAGTTTCAATATATTTTTATTTTAGTGGTTCTTCTGGAATCAAACTATTTTCACCTGAGGGAAGCACATAAAAGAGGTTTGGAAGTCAAATTCTTATAATATAGATGGATTTTTCACTGTTTATTCAAGATTCATTCAAGCATTTACCATCTGTTAGAACTATCTCTGGACCAGACACTGAAAAAGGTACTAGATCATAAAATGAGTAAGATATAAGCCTTGCCCTGAAACTGTTTATAATACCCCAGATGAAGAATCACAAAGGAATCTGGGTTTTGGTGCTGGTATAATTACCTCTGTATCAATGAATCTGGAAATTCTTGAAAATATACTCTTCTAAATTCAGATTACAGTATTTACAGATATTAAAAACAGTGTATATAAAAGTATATATATATATATATACACATAGTATATATTAAAAACAAAGCTATAGTGATATTCTATTTAGAAAGCCATTTTGGATTTATCAAAAGAGCAAAAAAAAACACAATTAGGGGCTAGCAATCAGGGCTCAGGACTAGTGTGAGGCAAGACAGATTTCCTAGTGTTGAGTTTAAGAAGATACTCTCAGGGTCATGTGAGCATGGGGTCAGCCTTAAAATTAAGACTTTCAACTTTTGCCTTTTAAAATCTTGTACTCTAGGCATCTCTCCTGCCTCACCCTAGCTCTGGCCCAGCTATGACTGTTCAACAAAAGAATAATTCTGTTATACTCGGTGTTGTATATTTGGTCTACTCCATAACAAGTGTTTTATAAATTATTTGTGGCTTACCAAAAATAGAAATGTGAAATCATGAAGGATTGAGTTCCTAAGCAAAGACAGTATGTCTACTTTCTGGAGAAGGGGTAGATACTAATGGAAAGATGAAATATAATTAGCATATGAAATGATTACCAAGTTAAAAGCTTCTATCTAGTCATATTAGAATGAATTCTCTTACTAGATCATTCTATTATTATCTATAACCATTAACTTATAATTCTGCTGATTTCAAATAACTGCTTATTTGGAGTTTTTCTAGTATCAATTCCACATGAACTGAATGAACAGGAATAAAACCACCAGAAAAGTTACAAGGCAATATCAACAGTCTTTCAAGACAGATAATTTTGGATATTAGCACTTGAAGCTCCCTGGTCCAGTATAGATGGTTGTTGTTGCTGTTGTTCAGTTGCTAAGTTGTGTCCAACTCTTTGCAAGCCCATGAACAGCAGCACACCAGGCCTCCCTGTCCCTCACTATCTCCCATAGTACAGATGGTTATTCAGGATCAAATAAGTAAATTCTTGATGTATTTGGTTCACAGGAATATAACTCCATAATTTAGTTTTTCTAAAAACCAGCTTCATATTTAGGGACATGAAAAAATGCAGGGAAAGTGATAAATAACTTAGAAATAAAAGGCACTGACATCAAGTAGAAAAGGTTTTCCCATTAAATCAAAGTCATGAGAACTTGAAAACAACCTGTCATGTATCATTGTATCTGGTAGTTGAATATTCAGTGTCAGATTAAGAGTATAAAGGAGCTTTCTGAAAAGTTCCAAATACACGTGATATGTAGTAAAGCATTTTCCCCTGCATTGGCTTAATTCTATTTCTCCCTCTCTACTCCTGTTAAGGCTGTTCAAGAGCTGCTGTCCATTTATGTTTTTTCTTCTTTTACTTTAAAACTGAAAATTTTTACCTACCAAATTAGGTTGTTGGGCTATTAGAACTAAGAATTTCATATACAGTTCTCAACAGAGCCTTGAAAAGTTTGGTTGTTGTGACTTATTTATAAAATAAATCCCATTTTTGGAATGGTCTCTAAATGAGGTTGTGCATATTCTGCAATAATAATAGCAAAACAAAATCATTCTAAGCTGCCATAAATGGACTATTGTGTAGAAAGATGTTTCTGCACTAGAAAATGAGACAGCTGAGGCTGCTCTTAAATAACATGCCTGGATTTCCAAAGTAAAACATTCAAAATCATGAAAAATCTTTTTGCCAATGAAAAATACAATTCTAGGAAAAAACTATTACTCAAATAATAAGTAATAACCTTAAATGACTATACTGTCTCTCCCATGTTAAAAATTCCTTTATTTATAGACTATAGTCTTTCTAATTATAACTCTTAATAACTTATAAAAAGTTTAAAACACCAAGCCCAAACAAGTCAAAATATTTTAAATACGTAATTGAAGTCAACTGAGAACATACTTACACTGGATTTATTACTTCTGGGCCCCCAAAGCTTTTCCTCCCTTAATGTGATCCCTGTTAACAATTACCTCCATAACAAAGTAAAATTCAAGCTTATGAAAACAAATTTCATTGACAGTACCATCCTTCTGGTGACTAAAACTGTTATGGAAAATAATTTTCTATTAAAACATTTATTAAGAAATCCCTAAATTAATTTCATTGTTAGAGGCAATGCAAGAATTGTTGCTGTTGTTGAGTCGCTAACTCGTGTAGGACTGTTATGACCCCATGGACTGTAGCATGCCAGGCTCCTCTATCCATGGGATTTCCCAGGCAGGAATACTGAAGTGGGTTGCCATTTCCTCTTCCAGAGGATATACCCAATTCAGGGACTGAACCCACGTTTCCTGCATTGGCAGGTGGATTCTTTACTGCTGAGCCACCAGGGAAGCCCAGTGCAAAAAATGTATTTCCTGATTTAAACTCCATTAAAACATTTAAAACACGCATTACCCCAAATTTTCATTTTGGATCAGCTACTTAATCTCTGTTGGAGCGATCAAGATTCATAAATAAATTACATAATCTCACTTAAAAAACTGCAGTCTAAATTTTTAGTTATCTGATGTCTTGAGCAAACAATCCAGATAAACATTATTCATGCAAGCTTTTCTCCATCCTTTATTGGGTAATTATCTAGGCTCTCTGAGTCATCTTCAGAGTCAAATGTTCAATTACTGTCACTGAAATTTTATAAAATAAACATCAGTTATAAATCCTAAAAAACAAATGACACTATAGCATATTTAAGATTAATTTATTTAAGTATGCATATCATATAAACTTTTTATCTCATAAAAATATGCCCCATATTAAATAATTTTAAAGATACATAATTACTTATATATAATGCTTTCAATCTAGTTCATTATCATTAATTCTTTGGTTCCTGCATCTAACCTTGTTTCCCCTCCTACTGCTGGATGCAGAATACAATAGCCCCCGCAAGAAGGGGCAAAAAACAAAGATACTAGGCTGACCAATTATCATGGATGATGCTAAGATGCTCTCCATAGTCAGCACCATGAACATACTACTCAAATGTAAATGAGAATGTAAGCAGAATGAGTGACCTTCATGAAGTTTTTCACATAAAGTATACTTCATTATCACTGAAGATTTAACTACTAACAAGCGAGGTCTAAGTTATTTAACTATTTCTGAGCCCTTTGAGGTAATGTCAATATCCAGCTTCCAGTTTCCACTCTTGAAAATATTTCTCCATTGTGCGTCTAGATTTCAAGGTGCCCACATTCACAGTAGGTATGATTTTCTGCGGCCTCAGCCACTGAACAAAACGTTTCATCTCTAGGTAGCTGCTGTGTTCACTGTAAGGAATCCCTGCAACACAAAAGATAGTGCCTACTAAACATCAAACTAATAAAGAAAACGGCATACACCCAAAATAAAATAAAAGAGAAAAAGAAAGCAATCCGAGTATTTCTGCCAAAAACTCCTTGGTGCTTCTTTTTCTGATGACAAAATTTGCTAGTATTTTTTAACTTGTTTTTCCTTTGTTCAGTCGTTAAGTCGCACTCAACTCTGTGCGACCCCATGGACTGTAGCATGCCAGGATCCTCCATTCACGGGATTCTCTAGGCAAGAATACTGCAGTGGGTTGCCATGCCCTGCTCCAGGGTATTTTCCCAGGTGAGGCACTGAACCCTTCTCCTGCCTTGGCAGGCGGATTCTTTACCACTGAGCCACCAGGGAAGCCGTCTCTTACAAATAATAAAGATTAAAATTAAGTAAACACTTTTGAACATTAAAAAATGCTATTACTTTTCTACGTGGGCTTCCCTGGTGGCTCAGATGGTAAAGAATCTGCCTGCCAATGCAGGAGACCTAGGTTCAATCCCTGGGTCTTTTCTACTTTTCTATGTAGATACTTAATAATATGCATTTCTATAGATTTTTTTTTTTTAATAATTTTATTTTTCATTTAATTTTGGCTGTGCTTCATCTCTGTTGCTGCACTTTCTTCTAGTTGGAGTGAACCGAGGCCGTTGTGGCACTTGGGCTCAGTAGTTGTGGCGCACAGTTGCCCACGGCATGTGGAATCTTCCTGGGCCAGGGATTGAACCTGTGTCCCCTCCACTGGCAGGCGGATTGTTAACCACTGGACCACCAGGGAAGTCCGTCTATAGATTCTTATTTGTAAATAGAGTTTTTCTTTTTAAACAATTCTTCCTCTAAGCACTTTGCCCAGCTACTGATTTCACGAAAATTCTGGAAGAAATATGAGTAAAACCTGAAGGGTAACAAGCAAAGGATTCTTGATTTCCAGAGCAAGTAAGCAGATTCCATCCCCAAGCTTTGTACACATAAAAAGGAAAAAAAAAAAAAAGATTAAGTATTCAAAATCTTATTATCTTCTTTAATGAAGATCAAATACCATAGAGAAAGGGTCCTGGTTAGAGTAAACTAGGGTCCAAAAATATCTCCATCGGCCATTATAGTCATAAGCCCATTTCTGAGGACAGAAATGGTTAACGTACTCCAAAGATGAAAAAACTAAAGTCAAGTCTGTAACTTTTGCTGTCACCGCATCCGTCACTGTCTTCCCATTCTCAGTGCCACCGCATCATTTAACCTTCCACAGCACAGTGGTGCTACCCATCTCTCCTTTCAAGTAGTGTATTGGGTTGGCCAGAAAGTTCTACAATCTCCCCGACATGTCACTGATAACACACATGGACTCCTCTGTATTAGTCATTGTCTACTAGCTGCACTCCTTTATATGAGTTTACAATGTACTAAAGATACAGGTTTAGAAAGTGAGGAGCAATTTTCACCTGTTAAATTCTTAAAGATACTTTGGTGCCTCTTTTTTGTTGGATCTTAATTTTACTGCTTTTTTTTAAAAAAATGTAACTACAAATATTAAGAGTAAAAGCAAAATGAATATACCATATATTGAAATGTTTCCTTTGGTCTGGGGAATAATATCTGTTAGTCTAGTTAACTTGTTAGAATGCGTCCAACCTGTAGGCCGAAAAGCCAAAATCTGATTGTATTTCCCACCACACTTCTTCAAGTGATTCTGTAAACCCTGTTAAAAAAAAAAAAAACAAGATATTTATTTAATGGTCAGTGAAGATGGGTAATGTGGAATAAAACAGAATGATTAAAATGTTACATCGGCACAGTTTTAGGGAGTTTTCAGTTGGTGAGCATTAGAAAACCTAGTGCTGTGTTCCTCACCAGAAAATAAAAAACTGAAAAAAAAAAAATTTCCCCTTTACTTATCTGAAGTTGTGTGTGTGTGTGTGTGTGTGAGAGAGAGAGTAGCTCAGTCGTTTCTGACTTTTTGCAACCCCTGTTAGAGGTATGATACTAACACTGATACATGTGAGTCCATACTCTCCAAGCATTTACACCAATAGAGGACTGACGGATGGCTATAAAGATGGAAATAACTTTATAACTGCATTATGCTCAGCACAGACACATATTTGAAGACGCACAGTAGCTCTTTTCAAATGTTTACTCCTTTTCACCCTTTATACATGAACTAGAATAATTGAAAAACTTCTCATGCTGCTGTAATTAGAAATAAAATGCTAATACATTTTGAGTAGAATAGAACTTTCCAAACTAAGGTTGTCAGTAATGAGGACATTAGGTAAGCTTCTTAGAAAATCAATGACCAAGGTTCAACCTTCAAAAGATAAGAAAAACCCAGATAAAGGCAAAATGTCATGAGGGATATTAAAAAAAACAAAAAGTCTAATACTTTTTGGCTAAAGACTAAAGCCAGAGGGTCAAAGGCTTAGTGTAAATTTATAATAACATCCTAGTTTTATTTAAAACAATAGAAAACCTAAACAGTATATAGTGTCTTCTTGGATTTCCAAAAGTCTCCTGTTTCTTTTTTAACCATATATATAAACTACTGAATATTAAAAAGATGCTGGCAGGAAGTTCTGAAGAAATCATAAAGACAAAATCACTCATCTACCTATTCATTCATTCAATAAGTATCTGTTCAGGTGCTGATGTTTGACTGGTCAGTGAGACAGAGCCTTCACCTTCTGGAAGCCTATAGCATAAGGGGAAGACTTCAACGAACAGCACTTTCTGAATCCTTTTCTTTTTTTTAGTGAAACAATGTGCTCTTTCTTTTAAAAACTCTTACCATCTTTTACACCATCAGCACCTAGGAACCTTAGATTGATCTCTTCAGAAAGGACTTATTTTTTAGTATAAACTCTTAGAAATGGAATAGCTAAGGATTTACCCATAATATCTCCTATAAGTGGATGAAGAGTGCCACTTTCTCTGAATCTCAGCATAGGAATACTACCTTCTTTAAAAGTATGCCTATTTGGCAAAAGATAAACGCATCATTGTGTTTCATTAAAAATTTTTTTTCTTATTATTATCTAGAGGCTGATGATTTTGTGTTTATCAGACATTAATATTTCACTGGTGAATTAATAATAATCCTTTGACTTTTGGTTTATATCAAATAATGATCTTTTACTAATTTGTACACCTACCATTAAACAGTCACATATCTTACCAACTACTATCCCTCCTCCAAAAAAAAGTTTCAGTTATAGATACATAAGTTGTCATTACCATACCCCTGGCTCTGAAAATTTTCCGGTTTTTGTCTTGCTTAGGCTAGGATCTAGCTACTATAATACTGTTTGCTTAATTACTAATCCTCTTCTCTTCCTGGCCTCACAAAGAAAAGAAAATTACAGGAACCAGGTTTAGAGCAATTATACATGTAATATCATAAACTAAGAGTCCAACTTTCAAAAGTAGGTCATCAAATTTACCCGTTCTTATGTTTCTCTGTAAAAACACTTGGGAGAACTGAATCAGAAGTAATTTCTGCTTTTCATGAGACAAATTAGAGTTGCCACAAAAACATTATTAACCTGTGCCACAAACAAAAACATAGGACATCATCATCTAAGCCAAGCACATAGAAAAGACTGCAACCACCACTAGTCACTCATTAGCCACAACTGGAGGACTACTATCAAGAGGAATTTTATTATGATTTAGTCGACATAAAGTCCCTGATCTATGACTTGTCTCTCTGTTTATTGGTAACTAGTTTGTGATAAAAATGCTACTAAAGTTATTTTCCAGTATGTAAATTAATTATCTATAACTAATGTTTTACCACATCTCATCAATCAGGTTAAAATCAGTGGTGGTAGTCAATTATGTTCTTACATATATGAACCTGGTTTGTTGAACTAGGTAGCATGAGTGCTATTATTTATAGCAAGGGTCTCCAACCTCTGGGATCTAATGCTTGATGATCTGAGGTAGAGCTGATGTAATAATAATAGAGATAAAGCGCACAAGAAATGTAATGTGCTTGAATCATCCCCAAACCATTCCCCTCCCACCTCCCAGTCTGTGGAAAAACTGTCTTCCATGAAACCAGTCTCTGGTGTCAAAAAGGTTGGGGATCTCTGATTTACATTGTTTCTAAGTCTTTCAAGCCTGACTCAGAAACGCTGACAACTGTATCATGTTTACATTTCCACAAAAAAGTCATTATCTCTGATGCAATAAAACTATTTTGCCTAGTTTAAAAAATTGGCTTTAAGTACTAACTAAAATGTAGCTTTATGGTAACCATCTGCTGCCACTCCATCTGCGTTTTGAAGATATGAAATTGTAAAAAGAATGTCATCATTATCTGGTCACTTAAATGGAAGAAGGGGAAGGGCTACAGAAAAATACCAACAACATACAACAAATAATGGAAATAAGACAAAGATTTCAGATATTCTTTTTTTTTTTTCTTCAAAGCAGGTAACGATCAGTTTTTTTTTTTTTTTTAAGCATACAGTTCAGTGGTTGTTGGTATAGTCGCAAAGTTACGTGACTATCATGCTGTCTAATTCTAGAACGTTTTCATCAATACCTCCGCCCACTCCCCAAAGAAAACACAGTTCTTATTAGCAGTTGCTCCCTATCCCCCCTCCCTCAAGCCCTGGAAACCACTAACCTACTTACTCTCTCCAGATTTACCTATTCCAGACATTACATATAAATGAAACCACAAAATATGTAGCCTTTTGTGTCTGACTTCTTTTACTTGGCATGTTATTCATACAGTAGCATGAAACAGTAATTTAGTCCTTTTTACAACTGAATATTTCTGTTTTATGTACATATCACGTTTTTTCCCTTTTTATCCATTCATCATTTAATGGACACTGGAGCTGTTTCCAGCTTTATGGCTACTATGAATGATGCTGCCATGAACATCTGTGTAGAAGTTTCTGTGTGGACATAATGTTTTAATTCTCTCAGGCATATACCTAGGACTAGAATTACTGATCATATACTCACTCCATGTTTAACTTTTAAAGACATTAACAAATTGTTTTCTAAAGCAGCTGCACCACTTAACGGTCTTATTAGCAATACATGAGGTTCCAGTTTCTCCATATCCTCATCAAAAACCGGCACTATCTTTCTCACTACAGCTATCTCTGTGAGTGTAAAATGGTATCTCACTGTGGTTTTGATTTACAGCTCCCTGATGGCTAACAGTGCTGATCCTCCTTTTTCATGTGCTTATTGGCTATTTGTACACCTTCTCATTCATCCCTAGCTCTCTGCTGCCTCTGGCTTCCTCCATTACTTCACTGAAATGGTCCTTGTGAACATCATCCTTTCCTTATATGACCTCTGCACAGCACATGGTAGTCTTGAACATTCTTTCCTGAGAACTCTAGCCCCTTCACTTTCATAATATTCTGACTCTCCCAACCTGGTTTGTCCCCTTAAAAGGATCATTTGTTCAAATGAAACAAACTAAGCAAGAAATAAGACTGTAGGATAAAAATCATAAACATATATTATACCCTCCTCAGGATATCAGTGTTCATTTTTTGATTAAGCAACATTCTCATTAGCCTCCACGCAAACTGGATACCTCTCAAATTTAACATATGTTTGCAAAGCTGGCTTAAACACTAATGGACAACACTGTGACTTGATTATCCTTGACATTTTTATGAATTACATACTCACGGAAATAGGTGCCAAAAGGATTTTATCATAATCTCATGAAAAGAGGAGAATTTCCTTACTCAAAGGATAGAACTAAAATACTAATTTTCCTTATACTATATCAGTGTTCTTATTTATGACAAAGTAATCAATACCTACTAAGCTATTTCAAAACGCTCCATAAAATTGTTTCATAAATATTATAACAAAATTAAAAATATATTTTTTTGGTGTACATCATGTTCTTTATTGCTTTTAATACACAGGTTTGATGTATTCCTTTGCAAGGTGTCAAAATGTTAGTAAAAGGAATGAATCTTAGTATCTGAAAAAATCTGACAAACCCCCATAGATTACAGGGAGGTCACATCATATGTTTCTTAATTTATACCTCAGAACTAACATTAGAACTTACTTTTAAAATACACTTCTACTATTTCATTTAATCCTCACATATATATTTTCAACATATATCAATGGTAGAGTGGCTTAATATTATACAGAATAGACCTGAAGAAAAGTAAGAATGCCTTAGAATTCTTCAATCATTTCCCCACTCATCCAGGAAGAAATGGAAAATAATCTTACAAACAGAAGGTTTGAATGGCCAGAAAGATGCATACTTTTTTCTATTTTTGTTTCTTCATTTCTTCCTTCCCAAGCTCCTAAACTCCTGGTGAGCATGTGAATCACGCTATATAGCTGCACCAAAAAAACTTAAAAACATTTCAAATTCCACTTAAAAGATTTTCTAGGGCAAACTTCACTTTGACTCCATTGTAATTGAATTCCTCTACCTTAAATGCAAGCAAAATGGGATTCTAGTTTACAATCATCAGATTGCCTTTTCTAGTTCATCCTAAAGACGTATCTCTTGAATGCTTACCTTAAAATTAATTTGCGTCATTGGGAGAAGGTGGACCAGTGAATTGCACATGTCTGTAGTGATGAGGGAATTGACTTCTGGCATATTGAAGCACTGTAATGTGCTATATTTTTCTTTGGACATGCCTACTTTTGAACCTAGAACATCAGCAATGGCTACAGGAAAAGTTCAAAAATAGTAAGTTATAGTTCATGGAAAGATTAAATAACAACTTAATCAACTTTAAGACAAGAATTTACAAATAGAAAGAAATTCAAAACATTCACACTTTTGCAATAATGTCTCAAAAAGGCTGAATAATTTTCTTGGTTAACCATGAGGAATAAATTGTGAGAAATCCAAGAACTTATTTTTAAAGAACTAGTCTTTCAAAATTGCAAAAGATAGATGGAAAGGGGTTGAGGGAGGGGGAAAAAATAAGTTTGCATGAGTTAAAACCCTGACTTTATCATTTTACATCTTAGTATTTGACATTACGGAACCACAGTTAAGAAGAAATGGAAAATACTTTGCAAAATAGTACCATACTATCTAGAAAAATTACAGTTGCATTTCCAGAAATCATTTAGGAACAAAATCTAAACCTGTTCTCTAAAATAATTGATAGTTATCATCAAAAAATGCAGTGAAACAACTATGCACTAGTCATCTCCCAGTCTGCTAAAATATTAATGTAGCATGGACTTTTGCTCTATAAACACTTTGTAGATATAAAGGCTACCATAAACACACTTATCAAATGTTTCCATTAAGTCTTTCAAAGTTCATAGGAATTAAACTCTATCAAATTTTTCTTCGACTTCAAAGGTAATACTGAACTGTTTCAGGAAATAAACATCTAGCACAAGAACGATGCCTGAAAGGGCTTTGTGCAAAAAGAACCTGATCCTTGTAATACAGTAATGTAAATTAGCTATAGCTATCACCCACCTAGGAAGATTTTCTCTTTTCCAATAGAGTAAGTGCCACAGACAACAAGAGCCCATGGGTTTAGAGTTACAGTCTCAAAGGCAGTGTTGATGGCAAACTGGATAACCTCTTGCTGAGACGGAAAAGAGTATTCTGGGCTGCAATATCTGTAATATGTAAATACAGTCTTATTAAAAGAACAACAAGAAAGCCATAGCATTAAGTCGGATGCTGTTTTAGAAAAGAAGCTTTATCAAAATTATATACAACAGCAGTATAGTATATTAACACCACTGTAGTTACCTCACCAGTGCCTGTGGTTAAAATATTTGTTAACAGCTATTGATTATTTATGATGGAATTACACATTTTCAATATACCTTTTTCATTATATTTCTTTTATCACTCTCAAATAAACTGCATTTTCTTCCTTCAAGAATATTTCTAGCTAGCTATTTTAGCTATGAATTGTAAACCTTAATATCTTCTTTTTTTAACCCCAACCCCTATCAAAGAAAATACTATTGATAGGGATTATCTTTATGGACTAAAGAATTCTGCTTTATCAAAAATATATATTTTTAATAATGAAACTGAACATGAATTTGATGAAGTAGCATTAAATCAAATAGTTAATATTCACATGGTTGTTATTCTCTCTTGGGAGATACAGAAATATATATAGTATTATAGGAATATAGCAGATCTAGTTGTGTCTACCTCAATATAATAACACCCAATAAAAAATACTACTATTAGTATTAACCTTAACACTACTAGTTATAGATATTTGACATGAAAAGTTCAGCACTTTTCAACTAAAAAACTCATAAAGTATAAACATCCAAGAAATATACTCTTTGCTGGTCAGCTATGAGAGTAGACAAAAAACTCAGTCCTCTCTCCTGTAAGAACCCACAAAGAAATTCAGAATGGTATGTAGACTAAAGTAACAATAAAAAGGTTTCTTTTAAAACATTATTTTCTTAATTCACCAGGTATTTAAGTACATATAAAAGGATGGAAAAATTAGCTATAGTGTTAGAAAACTGGATATGGAAAGATCATCTCTTACTAAAATATGCCATCCAAACTCAGGTCTTCTTGAGACAGACTGAAATAGTTAATATCATTTCTGAAAAACCAATGAGATATTTTAATAATAATAAAAAGACAAGGGATTAGATCTGATAGACAGAGTGCCTGAAGAACTATGGATGGAGGTTCATGACACTGTACAGGAGATAGGGATCAAGACCATCCCCAAGAAAAAGAAATGCAAAAACGGCAAAATGGCTGTCTGAGGAGGCCTTACAAATAGCTGTGAAAAGAAGAGAAGTGAAAAGCAAAGGGGAAAAGGAAAGGTATACCCATTTGAATGCAGAGTTCCAAAAAACAGCAAGGAGAGATAAGAACGCCTTCCTCAGCGATCAATGCAAAGAAATAGAGGAAAACAATAGAGTGGGAAAGACTAGAGATCTCTTCAAGAAAATCAGCGATACCAAGGGAACATTTCATGCAAAGATGGGCACAATAAAGGACAGAAATGGTATGGACCTAAAAGAAGCAGAAGATATTAAGAAGTGGTGGCAAGAATACACAGAAGAACTATACAAAAAAGATCTTCATGACCCAGATAACCACGATGGTATGATCACTCACCTAGAACCAGACATCCTGGAATGCGAAGTCAAGTGGGCCTCAGGAAGCATCACTATGAACAAAGCTAGTGGAGGTGATGGAATTCCAGCTGAGCTGTTTCAGTCCTAAAGGATGATGCTGTGAAAGTGCTACACGCAATATGCCAGCAAATTTAGGAAACTCAGCAGTGGCCACAGGACTGGAAAAGGTCAGTTTTCATTCTAATCCCAAAGAAAGGCAATGCCAAAGAGTGCTCAAACTACCACACAATTGCACTCATCTCACATGCTGGCCAAGTAATGCTCAAACTTCTCCAAGCCAGGCTTCAGCAATATGTGAACCGTGAACTTCCAGATGTTCAAGCTGGTTTTAGAAAAGGCAGAGGAACCAGAGACCAAATTGCCAACATCGAAAAAGCACAAGAGTTGCAGAAAAACATCTACTTCTGCTTTATTGACTATGCCAAAGCCTTTGACTGTGTGGATCACAACAAACTGGAAAATTCTTCAAGAGATGGGAATACCAGACCACCTGACCTGCCTCTTGAGAAATCTCTATGCAGGTCAGGAAGCAACAGTTAGAACTGGACATGGAACAACAGACTGGTTCCAAATAGGAAAAGGAGTATGTCAGGTTTATATATTGTCACCTGCTTATTTAACTTATACGCAGAGTACATCATGAGAAATGCTGGGCTGGAGGAAGCACAAGCTGGAATCAAGGTTGCCGGGAGAAACATCAATAACCTCCGACACGCAGATGACATCACCCGTATAGCAGAAAGTGAAGAACTAAAGTGCCTCTTGATGAAAGTGAAAGAGGAGAGTGAAAAAGTTGGCTTAAAGCTCAACATTCAGAAAACTAAGATCATGCTATCTGGTCCCATCACTTTATGGCAACAGTTGGGGAAGCGATGGAAACAGTGAGAGACTTTATTTTTTTTATTCAAATCACTGCAGGTGGTGACTTCAGCCACGAAATTAAAAGAGTTATTCCTTGGAAGAAAAGTTATGACCAACCTAGACAGCATATTAAAAAGCAGAGACATTGCTTTGCCAACATAGGTCCGTCTAGTCAAAGCTATGGTTTTCCTAATAGTCATGTATAGATGTGAGAGTTGAACTATAAAGAAATCTGAGGGCAGAAGAATTGATGCTTTTGAACTGTGGTGTTGGAGAACACTCTTGAGAGTCCCTTGGACAGCAAGGCAATCCAACCAGTGCATCCTGAAAGAAATCAGTCCTGAATATTCAATGGAAGGACTGATGCTGAAATTCCTATATTGTGGCCACCTGATGCAAAGAACTGACTCATCTGAAAAGACCCTGATGCTGGGAAAGACTGAGGGTGAGAGGAGAAGGGGACGACAGAGGATGAGATGGTTGGATGGCCTCACCGACTCAATGGACATGAGTTTGAGTAAGCTCCGGGAGTTGGTGATGGACAAGAAGGCCTGGTGTGCTGTGAAAGAGTCAGACACGACTGAGTGACTGAACTGAACTGAAAAAGACAATGGGGCTTCCCAGGTGGTGCTAGTAGTCAATAACCCCCATCCAAGGCAGGAGACATAAGAGATGTGGGTTCTATCCTGGGTTGGGAAGATCCCCCTGGAGGAGGAAATGGCAACCCACTCCAGCATTTTTGCCTGGAGAATCCTATTAGTCAGAGGAGCCTGGTGGGCTACTGTCCATGGAGTCGACAAGAGATAGACACAGCTGAAGCAACTTAGCATGCATGCAGTCAAAAAGACAATGGCTTATACTATTATGTTGATAGCACTTAGTAATTCAAGACTCTTGCTTATAGATTACCTTTTGGAGAAAGGAAGAACGTAATTCTGAATATTCAGACACAGACCTCATTCTCTGTTTTCTTTTCTTCATAATCACACTTGTTACACAGATACTTTAAAAGGATAATCTTAAAGGATGTTTTCCTAAAGTTTGCTCCCAAATTTCAAATTTCCCTTTCTTGTTTCAGCAACAAGATTCTCATATAAACCATATTTTCAAAGGGATATTACCAAAAAAAAAAAAAAAATTGAGCTGGAGTCAATTAAGACATGTAATCCCAGATTTGTCCTTAGTAAGTGTATGTTTTTTCAACCATTCTTCTGATAAATACTTAAAATGATAATTGACAATAAGTCATCGCTTTGATTACCTAAGCACAAGCTGAAATTATTCATAATATACAGGGAAATACTGTCAGTGGAAAAAAGAGGCAAACAAACAAAGCTTCTCTTACGTTGTATCTAAGTAAAGCGTGTGGACTTTCTGGCCTACAAGTAGAGAACGTTCCATGCTGGGGTCTGCCCTGAAGTCTCCCGTATGTAGTATGACATGACCGTTAGGAAGATAAAAAAGGATCATGACAGCACCTGGACAGCTGAACACAAACATTTCAGAGGAATATTATTTACACAGATCAAAGCATCTAAAGAAAGAGTTTTCATTTCAATATCAACAAGTTAACACACTTTATTAACTGACCATAATGATACAGCATTGTACTACAGAGAATGCAGGAAAAGGTTAATTCAGCAGGCCAAGGCTGGTAAAACTCCACACATCCTCAAGAAAAACCTGTCTTTAGGACTAGTCCTTGGCTGGCCCTTGGGAGATGAGTTTTGAGTCCTTGGAGCATTCTGCCTGCTAAGAGTGTTTTGGATGCCTCACCCATTGAGCCATGTGTTACTAATTTGATCAGATAGTTACTAGCAGTGGTGAATACTTGTTTCTTGCATTAGCTGACTGGAGGTCAGTCATATGGGTGCTAGAATTATACACCACTGACTTTCAATAAAATCCCTGGATACTAAGGCTCAGCTGAGCTTCCCTGATCAGTCACAGGTCCCATGTGTTGTCAGGGCTTCCCTGGTGGCTCAGATGGTAAAGAATCTGCCTGCAATGAAGGAGACCCTGGTTTGATCCCTGGGTCGGGAAGATCCCCTGGAGAAGGGAATGGCAACCCACTCCACTATTCTTGCCTGGAAAATCCTATGGACAGAGGAGCCTGGTGGGCTACAGACCGTGGGGTTGTAAACAGTCAGACACAACTGAGTGATTAAACAACAGCAAAAATGCCACTTTACTACAAGAGGACACCTGGAAGCTTGGACCTGGTTTCTCCTAAATTCACCCTCATTTGCCTTTTTCCCTTTAATGATTTTAATGTGTCCGTTCACTGTGATAAGCTGTCATCACAAATAAAACAGCTTTTCTATGTCCTGTTGGTCCTTCCAGTGAGCCTAGAGGTGGTCTTGTGGACCCCTGACACAAAGGGGTTTGGAAATTACCGCCAAAACACAGAGAACTTTTAAATTCTAGGAAAACACAGGAAATAATTACAAACTTCCCCTTACTTCCCTGAACCCAAAATCCACACCTCAGTGACTTCACTGGGCAATTCTATGAAACATTTAGGGAAGTAATAACAACAATTACTACATGACATATTTCAGAAAATAGAGGAGGAGGGAATACTTCATGAGGTCAGTATTACTCTGATATCAAAGTAAGATAAAAGTATTATTTAAAAAAACCTGTAGACCAATAGACATTGTAAAAAAGACAAAATTCCTTAACAAAATATTGGCATATCAAATCCACCTATGAATTTTCAAAAAGGGTAATACATGAAGACTAAGTGGGTTTATCTCAGTAATATAAGGCTGGTTTAAATCCATCTGTGTCATTTACCACATTAACATTATAGAGGAGAAACATTATATTATAATCTCAATAGATGCCAAAGAAACACATCCGACAAAATTCAACACCCATTCATCATCACAAACTTCCAGCAGAGGGGATTTTCCTCAAAACTGATAAAAGGCTATTGCTAACATCATACTTAATGGAGAAAGACTGAATACTTTCTTCTTAAGATCAAGAACATGGGAACATGTCTAGTCTCACCACTTACATTTGACAGTATCTGAAGGTCTAATCCAGTACAATAAATAAAAGAAAAAGTACCACTCTAAATGGAAAGAAAGAAGTAAAATGAAATCATCTTTATTTGTAGACATATATGGAAAATTTTCAAGAATCTATTAATACAAAAAAACCTAAAACAACTAATGATCAGGTTTAGCAAGGTCTCAGGAGGCAAAGTCAAAGAACAAAAATCAGTTGTCCATCAAGAACTGAATGGATAAAATAATTGTATTATGTCATTCAGTAGATACTACCCAGTAATAAAAAGAAACACGTAACAGCATGGATGAATCTCAAAAATAAAACATGTGACAGAAGTCAGATACAAAATAGGAGTTACTATATGATTTCATTCAGATGAATCCCTAGTAAAGACAAATCTAATCCACAGTCACAGAAAACAAGGTTTTCTGAATCCAAGTTGGGATTTGGGATTGACTGGGAAGGAACACAAGGAAAACTCCTGTGGTAGGGAATATTTTTCATATTTTTATTGTGGTGGGAATTACATGGGTGTGTACTTTTGTCAAATTTCAACAAAGACTTAAAATAGGTCCATTTTATTTATGTAAATTACACCTCAATAAAGTTCACCGAAAAAAAAAAATCAGAACTGGAGTTGTTATAATTGGTGATTAAATAAATAATCAGCAGCAAAGTTAGCAGATAAAATCTCACAGGCGATCTGAAAAAAAAAAAAAAAAGCACTGGCCTGGAATTTAGGAGACCTTGGTTTAGTCTTAGTTTTAATTCTCTAGGTATCTATGATCTCTAAGGTACATAAGGATAACATTCCACGGAAAGTGTAAAGATGCGTAGCTGACTGACAGTTGTATTTTGGCACTGTGAATCCTGACAGTATTTAACATTAAAAAAGAGGCAAAAAAGAAAAAATTCTTTCAAGAAAAAAAATCTTCCAAGATTTAATATCAAAAACCTAAAGGATGTCTTAAAGGAAAAAAAAAATCCTTTAGAATCTGAATGGAGTACCAGCTGTTAATTTATATAAGTGATATTAAAGAAAATGGCAAAAGGTTCTCTTAAAGAACAGCAGCAATATGTTAAAAGATTAAAAAAATAAGAATCTCATATGTAAAGCACAGTAATTTAAACTGTATTAAAAAAGGGTTAGAAAACACTTAGATGAAACTCTACATTTAATCTTTGTTTCTGTATTGGGTACATTTTGTTTTTTCAAAAGAAGAAACACATTTTACTTGTTTTAAGAAATATCAAGCATAATAGTTTCAAAAAAAAGTTCTTAAATAACCATGCAATGTGTTTCCCTTTTGAATATTTAAAAACAGGTTGTCAGTAAGGTAACTTTAATACTTACTGATTGGCATCTAGCAAAATAACCTTGATACCATTCACTATACATTCAGTGTCTATTGGCAATGGATGGATATATTGTTCTTGTACGTGAAGTTTCCTCTTCAACAAATTGCCAGTTATCTGCAAAACAGGATGAGCTTATTGCTGATACATTAAAACACTAAATAAGTCTTTTATTTCATATCTACTTAAGAACTCAAGCATCTTAATAATTTCCTTGTTCTCTCACTTATATATTCATGTAAACTTACCAGAATGCCAGGAAGAACTTTCTAAAATGACTGCATCACAACTTTGCTTAAACACTATCACCGACTTCTCCCTCACCTATAAAAAGTCTATTACCCCATCATGAGACACAGAATCCTTGATGATTTGGCCCCTACCCATTTCTGCAGGTTTATCTACTGTTACTCCTTAGCTTGTTTTTAGCAACTGGAGTTCTTGGAATGGCTATACTTCTCAGTGTCTGTTCCTTTACACAAACTCTTCTCTACCTGGAAGCCTCTCTTCTCTTTCTTTTGCCTGGATCTGGAGTCAGACAGACCTGTGTTCAAATTCTGTGTCTGTCATTTGCTAGCTCTGTGACTTGGAGCATGCTACTTAACTGCTCCAAGCCTCAGTTGCTTCACTAATAAAAAGAGGATTATTCAAGAATACTTGAGGATTAAATAAAATTCTAGCCAAAGTCCTTAGTAGTACACATTAAAATGCTCACCTATTCATAATTAGCTCAAGGTGTCTCTTTCACCATGAAACTGTTTCTAACCTTAGCCTAGGACACAGTATAGCCCCTGACTTCTCCCTACTTCTAGGCATTCTGTTTACTTTTCTACTACAAATAGAGAGCCCACTGGAGTACTGGTGAATGTGTAGGCTGTAAGCTCCCTGAAGTTAGGTATTTTGCCATGAGTCTCTTTTTAGGCATTCAGTAAATAGTAAACATTCAGTAAATATTTACTGAATGAACCGTATTTCAGTATATCATGAACTAGCTTATCTATTGTCTCCATAAAATAAAGCATATTTTAAAACATCTATTGTAACTATCGACAATAACTCATTTGATTTTAGAGTCTCAATGTGGAATCTGCTTTTTCATATATTTTCCAGAAAAATGATCTTACAATTTTAATTATCTTTTAACCAGACTGCTTAGAAATTTACTGCATTCCACAAATTCATAATTTAGAATACTAGAACTTACCTCACTACAATAAATGGGAAACGTGAAGTTTTTAGACAATCCAGCGTAATGATCAGAATGGAAATGAGTGAGAAAATAGGCAGTGCAACCTTCAACCCATCCATACTGAAAGGCATCGACCGTAAAGCCAGTTCCTACAATGAAAACACCAAAGCAGCTGCTTTAGCAAGAGTGATGTAAAAATTACCCAATTTGCTTATATAGCAAACCCTCTTACACCTTTACATCTCATGTCCAACTTAACTTTACAATTTAATTAAAAAATCTATTACACATAAATTCACCAAAGGATGATCCTAGAGATGAAAATGAGTCTTGTAAGTTTATGCTAAATATACCCAGTATAGTCTTTTTTAAGAATAACTTTGCCAAAAAAAAAAAAAATGCACTAAGCTACAAACCAGTTATTTGGCTAGCTGAATATTTTCACGATACTTACTAGGCACCTAAAAATCCTTTACTTCTGTGAAACAGCAAAAGGAGAATGCTATCTTTCTTCTAAAACATGAAATCTCAATGGGGGTGACACTGACCTGCTTCTGGCAGGAGAAAAATGGTTGATGACCCAAATGATCTCACTGGCCCTCCAAAGAGTTACAGAACAACAGGTAAATAGATATCTGTAGTATTTGAATTTCATTGTGGGAGGTGGGGAGGAGAAAGGGAAATGAGAAAAAAAAAGCCTAAAAAGGCTCCCTAGAGCAGCAATTATGGAAAAAAAAAGAGCTGTTCTAAACATGCAGGTAAATAAGCATACCTCCTATATATATATAAATAAGCATACCTCCTATATATATAAATAAGCATACCTCCCCAATTCTACAGAGGCCTACCCACACATGGCCCACTAGTTCTGGGCTCACTTTAAATACATAAATTTAATCAAAGTAATTAATAAAAACAGAACTGGTGCTGTAATGTGCATAAATACTTTTCTTTACATAAATATTTTGAGCAAACTATACATTTATAGTATCAAAAGAGCACATTAAAGAATCTTCCTGAAACCAAGTGCATTTTGGCAGTTTTATATTCTTTTCAGAAGGGTACTTGGTTTCTTCATTAATAAAATTCATTTTACTACTCATTTTTCTATTAGCTCTTCTATGAAGGCACAAGAAATTAAAAAAATATGAAAAATTATGAAACTAAGTTATGATATGGTTTTAAAATGTTTAGCATTTTAATGAAAATTTTATGAACATTTAAAAAGTTTAGCATTATTATGACCTGTGTAACCCATGACATTTTCCTTCTTTGAAGCTTTTTAGAATTTTGCATTTTTCTTAAGTTCTTAGAGGCTATCTGTTACTATGGTTACTTACATAAATCCTTTCCTTCCTCTGTATTAAACTGATCTATATTCATTTTTGTCAAATCTGTAATATCTATTTAACTAGTAGAGTATCTTGTATATGGTGGTGGTGGTAGTCAGTCAGTTGTGTCCAACTCTTTGTGACCCCATGGACTGTAGCCCACCAGGCTCCTCCGTCCATGGGATTCTCCAGGCAAGAATACTGGAGTAGGTTGCCATTCCCTTCTCCAGGGGATCTTCCCGACCCAGGGATTGAACCTGGGTCTCCTGCACTGAAGGCAGATTCTTTACTGTCTGAGCCTCCAGGGAAGCCCCGTTTTGTATATAGAATATGTTTAGTAGAAGTTTGCTGAACTAAATGGACCAAAAAAAGATTAAATAGGCACACACACACACAAAATCTGCTACAGGTTAATGAGATATAAAAAATAAGGGAAACGCAAAAAATTGTTTCACAGGCACACAACATGAGCAATGAACATGAAGTTTAAAGAAGTTGCGTCTTTGTAGATACACTGAGCATTGATACTTCGACTTACCAGGTATTCTCTTATAGAATGGACATGTCCTTTTCCTTAATTCTCCTGCATTAGATGACTCTGAGATTTTCGTGTTCTCCCTCTGCACCCTGCGACGAGTTGATTTCATGAAGGCTTTGTCTTTACTTAAATTGACTGTTCCAGGCACTGTCTTTTTAAGGTGACCTGGATTCTTCTGATGTCCTCCTTCCTGCAATGAATCTGACTTTTTAAGTCTCTTTCTTTGACGCTGTGACCCCTTATCAGAAAGCTCCAGAGAGGGCTGACTTTCACTTAAATTCTTTGCCTCTAATTCTAAATCACTTAAAGATTTTTCTGCTTTCCTCTTGCGCTGCTGGGACCTCTTTTCATTAGGACTTATAGCTGTATTGAAGTTCACCCCTTCTAATGAACTTTCCTCCAGCACTTTCTCTTCTTTTCTTTTGGGTGGCAGTCCAAAATACACACCTATATCCATCTGCTTCATTACCTTAGTAGAAGGCTGTGTTGCATGACACTTAGGGCCAGAGGGCGACATTTTCGAAGGCTTAGCAACAGTAGGTGTACTAGAAAATGTTTCTGAATTTAAAACCGGAACTTGATTGTCCAGCATACCATCTAATGTCTTTCTGCAGAAACATGCTGAGTTTGCGTTGTTCTTAGCATTGGAATTCTTATTTGATAATTCTCTGATTTTACTTTGGGTTGGGTGGACAGAATGACACCCTCCTCTCTGGTTTTCAAAAGGTTTTGGCATTTTACTCTTAAGTAATGGAAGAGAGTTTTGATTGTAAACAGCTGATTCTTCAATCACCTGTTTCTCTTTGTTTGATTGAGAGGAGTGAAATTCTGGCTCATTAGGTTTTGCTTTAGAGGCTTGGTAACTAGGAGAAGTAAACGTCTCTGCTAATGCAGGTGGAAGCAACATAAAATCATCATCAGTATATGCTGGATGACCACATGAAACAAATCTCTTATTTTGGAAAGTAAGTTGAGACGAATCATTAAGAGAGTTGCATTCATACAATTCTTCATTGTATTTATCCTGCATTAAGAAGCTATCCACTTCGGGGCAGGCCTCCTGGTCCTTCAGTAAGGGGTCATATAGTTTTTTAGACAAAGTGGAGCTGTTGTCATCTTCTTCTAGGCTGCCATCTTTAGAGCTTTCCATGAAAAATAGTTTCTGTTGTGAATCATCCAGCTTATCATATGTATCATAAGTTTCTTCATCACTTTGAAGTGGAGAATAGGAGATTTCACAGTTGCTAAAGTCATTTTCTGGCAATGGCAAATTTCTTTGTTCTGGGTTGTTTTGGCTGTCTAATTCTTCAACAAGAGGCAAACCAACTCCTACCAGTTTGTCACTATTAACATGTCCTGTAAATTGTGTGACTTGTTGGGAAGTTTGGATATTTGTCAAAGAGGAAATCTTTTTATGGGTTTCAGTTGGAGACTGAGAGCTTTTTAGACATTGTGTCACTAGCAAGGGATCAATTGAAACATTTTTTAAGATTTCTGTTTGTTTCTGATGTGAAGACCATCTTTTCTCAAGGCTACAAAGAAAGTCTGAATTAGTCTCACTGAAACTCCAACCTGATCCATGGGAAGGATCCCTGAGAGGACTATTACCAGCCCTGCTTTGAGCTAGCAGAAGGTGAGTGTATCTCTGGTAATGAGAAGGAATTGTTGAGGAACACTGAAGGCCATCAGGACACTCTGAAAATTTTAATAAAGAAAAAAGTATTACTGGATCAAAGCACAGACTAAGCTTTGACAGTATTAGCACTATAAATTAACAGGTAAGTGGTTTAACAGGTAAGTAATCAGCCCTACTTTGCAGCCTTAGGACAATAGCTATTTTTATACCAACAAAAAAATCAACACAATTATCAGCAATCAAGTATGGTTTTACAAGGTGCTAGTTATTATTTTTAAATCAAATATTCTTTTAAGTTTCTTTTCAAATACTCTTTTCTTGGGAAAAAAAAAGTTAAGACTAACACCTTTTTCTCCCCACTAAAAACTTTCACAAAGATGAGCTCCTCCAAAATGAATATCATGCTTGCACGAGAAATCGATCCTATCAGTTTCACTACATCTCTATTGCTCAGGCAAAAAGAGAGTAGAGAAAGCTGGTATGTCTGTATCAAGTTTAAAATTCCACAGACTAAAATTCTACTCCAATTTTTGTCTTATCAGGCAACACAGATATATGACAATTACAGTACCAAATTAGGTTCCATTATTTAATATTCACACTGTATACAAAAACAATAATAGCAATCTTAATCAGAGCTGTCCATACACTAAACATTTTAGATTCTGTTGTAAGATTTGCAATTTAATTTGATAAATTGGTTAATAATAAGGCTTAAGTAATCTGGAAACTCCCGTCATACTATTATGATTGAGAAACAGTATGGAAACCATCTTGGCACAACCTCCCCCCTGTTTGTCACTTTCCAGGCCTATCAAAAAATGACTCCCTCCACCTCCAAAGGGCCTGCCTTGTGGCTCAGCTGGTAAAGAATCCACCTGCAATGCGGGAGACCTGGGTTCCATCCCTGGGTTGGGAAGATTCCCTGGAGAAGGGAAAAGCTACACACTCCAGTATTCTGGCCTGGAAAATTCCATGGACTGTATAGTCCAAGGGGTCACAAAGAGTCAGACATGACTGAGCGACTTTCACTTTCACCTCCAAAAAGGATGTTACATTAAATTGGAAGACTTCATTGCTTAAACCTTAAAACTACCTCATAAAAGTATATGTTATAGAACTCAAGAACAATCCACCTGAGATTCTGTTCAAAGGAGTTTATCAGTGAAAAGCAAAGAGAAAAATCTCTTTGAGGTGGCTTCATCTGTAAGACATTTCACCCTGAGGGGCTCATTATGGGACTTCGATTTCTGATTTTCAAGCCATTGAAAACCAAATTACTAGCATTTGTTGAGGCTTTCACTTATACAGAAAAGGCTAGTGCCAGTTTTGTTGTTGTTGTTATTTTGCATCTTTGCAGTACTTTAAAATGAGAACTAGAGGTTAATAATAAAATGTCTTTTGAATCATAGTTAACATGAAAGCCATATTGAGTATTACTTTTATTTTACTGAATTTCAGTTTTTTGAGATTTAAAATTTTATATATGGTATATAACTTCATACAAAACAAATCAATAACTCATTCTCCATATACTATAAGAAGGATTTTCTACATTTTAAACATGACATTTACTATATAGTTTAAAAGATAACAAAAACGTAATATTACTTCAGTTCTCATTTGGCACAAGTTTATTTACTAGAATCTTAATAACCTAACACTCTTCTTCTTTCTGTATATTAAGAAGAATGTACAGCATTCGTGACTTCAAGAATCCTAGGGACTACACTCATGATCCTCTAAAAGTCTGTTTCATAAAAGATAAAATGGGCAAATTGTTCAACTTTTAAGAACACTAAGTGCTCAAATGGTAAAGAATCTGCCTGCAATGAGGAAGAACCAGGTTCGATCCCTGGGTCAGGAAGATCCCCTGGAGAAGGAAATGGCAACCCACTCCAGTATTCTTGCCTGGAGAATCCCATGGACGGAGCCTGACAGGCTACATCCATGGGGTCGCAGAGTTGGACACGACTGAGCGACTTCACTTCACCTCTATTGGATATCAATTGCTGTTGTTTAGTCACCAAGTCGAGAAGGGCATGGCAACCCACTCTGGTATTCTTGCCTGGAGAACCCCTATGGACAGAGGAGCCTGGAGGGCTGCAGTGTCTAGAGTCGCAAAGGTTCAGACATGACTGAGCGACTGAAAACACAATCGCTAAGTCATGTCTGACTCTTTGTGACCCCAGCGACTATAGCCCCCCAGGCTCCTCTGTCCATGGGATTTCCCAGGCAAGAATACCAGAGTGGATTGCCATTTTCTTCTCCAGATCTTTCCAACTCAGGGATTGAACCTATGTCTTCTACACTGGCAGGTGGATTTTTTTTTTTACCACTATGCCACCTGGGAAGCCCATTAGATGTCAACACTACCTACCTTATGCAGGTGAAAGTAGCTTGATATGTGCTCAATTAACATTTATGAAAAATCAGATGTTTTGGAACTCTTATGAAATAATAAAATGCATTAAAACTTTCTTTTTGGCCACGTGGCTTATAGGATCTTAGTTCTTGAACCAGGGATTGAACCCGTTCCACCTGCAGTGGAAGAAAGGAGCCCAAACCACTTACCACCAGGGAATTCCCCTTTCAAATTGTTTTCAGGTTTGCAACACTCTCTACAGTTATACCAATGACTAGCATCTTTTTACCCTCACAAGAAGGGTAACAATGCATTATCTTGTTTCATTCAAAGGTGAGTCATTCTTACTTAGAGAATCTCATCTCACTTCCAGCTTACTACTTATCTTGTTTCCTTCCTTCCTTCCAGATTGGTAAGTCTGGCCTCATTCAGGTCTTGTTGACTATTTCGAGTCCACTGTCTTTTTTGCCATCTTACCTGTTGCGGAGACTGGTGTGGAATCCAAACACTCAAAAACATGCCATCGAGGTGTCTGACCTAGTAAGGAGGAAAAAGGCATCTGGCAGTTGGGACAGTACCCATCATAAACCGGTCGTGTCTTTGGAGACACGTGTTTGTCTTTGTGAGTCCTACAGCGCTTTTCTGGAGTGGCCTCCGTGTCTTGGCCCTGTTGAATACCATCTCCGCAAGTGGAGTTCTGACTGGAAGCTACGGAAGTCTGACTGACTGTTTCTCTAAGGCACGTTTCTGGGGTCTTGGCCTTCTTTTTAGTTTCTACAGTCCTTTTTTTATTTCTGTTTCGTTTTGACTGGTGTTGTCCATCTGTTGCTTTTTCAACAGATTCTGGAATATTCTCAGAGCAATTATTTGGATGTACTCGTTTTGGTTTTCTTCTGGATTTGTATTCCCAGATGTCTTCTTCTGAAAAAGCATCTTCTAACATGGCAAAATTATTCTGATCATTAAAAAAGTACTAATCTTAAGCAAACTGACAGTCTGTTTCTTGTTACAAAATTATTAAAGGGAATTATTTTGCTGAGGAAAAAAAAAGTAACAAAAAACTTACTAACTTGATAGGACTCTAAAGCCCTGGTAATGAATATATTGGCAAACTACAAACCTTATACCTAAGAACACCTGCTGTTACATTTACAGCACAGTAAAATTAACAGGGGTAGCATCTGAGTTTTCCATTGTGTATACTTCATTCAGGTCTCTTGGCTTTTTCCAGGACTTGATTCATAAAAATAAGAATTAGTAATACTTTGAATACCAAGCCCTAATGGAAATCATAGGTTTAACAGACTAATTTCAGAAGGAGCTTTGTAAAATCGTTATAAAGCTCCTGTCAATTCTTTTCCAGCTGGACAACTGTCCAAATCACAAATCCAACCACAGTCCCCAGGCAACGGACTCAGCAGGTGTTCCAAACACTTAATGGCTGCTGCAGCTTGCTAGTAACTCTAGTCACACCATAATTAAATGTGTGTGATCGGCAAAAGAAAAGTAATCGCCCTTATAACCGTGACTCCAGGACATTCAACAACTTCGGTTTCCTAGGTCAGTACAGTATCTTCCTCCAGCGGCAGTGAATAAAGGCTGCACAATGAACAAACAAAATTCAAGTATGTGAAATTGAACCTGCACCGAGGTCACCCACAAGCCTAACTTCAGATCGCAGAGGTGATCTGCCTGCAAGTGATCAGCTTTCTTTCCCACCAGCCTCAAAAACCAAGGTTCACCTGCCTGATGACACCCACCGGCTCGACCTCCTGGTTGGGAATTAGAGGCGGCAAGGCCAGTGGAGGGGGCCCTCATTCCCCTCCCCATCCCCAGGGTTGGGAGTGAGGGAGCTGCCAACACAGCCCGCTCCGCAAAAGCCATCGGTGCCGCCACCCCTCTTGTGAGGGCGGACGCCGGGCCCGCAGGGATCCCCGCAGGCGCCCACCTGCCACCCTCACTACCCCCACGCCGCCGCGAGGAGCTCCAGCTGCGTCCGCTCCCCCCGACACCCTTCGCCCGCCGGGTCACCCTGTTCGTTCCTGCGCTTTCATTGCACTGCCTGGTAATAAAACGCGGCCTTGGTGTATAAGCCAAGCCATTGGCTAGTCCCTCCCAACTTAAAAAACCCTACTCCTTTACCTTTCATGTCGTGGCGGGAACAGCTTCCCGCGACCAAAGCTGTGTCGAATCGGCTGTTCCCGGTCTAAAAGGGGAACTTTGAAAAGAAAAAAAAAGTTTGGGCCCTTTAAGTTCTACAGATTTATCTTGTTTTAGTTCTAAAAGCTGCTAATTTCCAAACTGAAGGGTGGGGAATTGTTCTCTCGGAGCTTCTAGAACGCCGGCCCAGGCGCCTTTTCCTTGTTGAATCTGGCGTTCTGAATGTCCAGGCTCCCCTGGGGCGGGAAGGCTTAGGACGGGCGGGGTAGCTTGGGAAGGTAGTTTAATTACGTGCCTGGGAATTGCGCCGATTTACACTTTAGCCTTTGAACAAAGTGCCGTTAGCGTGGAGTGGGGCTGGTGAAAAGGGAGGCGAATGTGCGGTTTGGAAACCAAAGAACAATAAGCGCTTTCTCTCTCTCCACACGAAACCGTCCCGCGGGCTGGGCGGCCGCCCCTGGACCATCCGGAGAACATGGCGGCGTCCGGAGCCCGAAGCTGCAACCTCTCGGGCCTGCTCCCGGCTCAGACCTCGCTGGAGTACGCCCTGCTCGACGCCGTGACCCAGGAGGAGAAGGACGGCCTGGTCTACCAGTATCTGCAGAAGGTGGACGGCTGGGAGCAGGACTTGTCGGTGCCCGAGTTTCCGGAAGGTGAGGGGCTGGCTTCGGGGTGGGGACCCCTCCGGAACCTCCCCTTTCTCGCGGACCGCGCCCTCCCCTGAAGCGGTGGGCGAGGCGGTTGTGAGGCCGCGCCGCGGAGAGACGCCTCTCCCAGCCGAGCCTCTGCCCCCAGGCGACAGCGAACGAGGGTTTGTGGAGGGCGGGAACCTGCATCTTCGTCTCTATCCTCCGTCTCTGCCCGGGCCTTGGGTTAACTCAGTACACTGAGTAAAATTTCGTGGCCCCCGTTGGCAATGATTCCAGCGCCCACGCCACCCTGTCCTTTCATTCTGGTTGCCCATCATCATCTTTGTGCATCATCCAAGCTAACGGTTACGGATCACTTGTGGGCCACACAGAGTCCTAAACACAAAGTATTTGTTATTTAATCCTCTTTGGAAACCATCGAGGTGGTCTTACTGCATGCGTGCTTAGTCGCTTTGCCATGTCCAACTCTTTGCAACCCCATCGACTGCAGCCTGCCAGGCTCCTCTGTCCATGGGGATTCTCTGGGCAAGAATACTGGAGTGGGCTGTCATGGCCTCCTCCAGGGGATCTTCCCAACACAGGGATCGGACGCAGGTCTCCTGCATTGCAGGAGGATTCTGAGCCACCAGAGAATCCTGAGGTGGTCTTGTTAGCTGTTTTACAGTTGGGAAACTGAAGCACGGGAACAGAGTCGTTTGCCTAGGGCCTCTCAACTAAGAAATGCCGAAGTTGGATTATACAGACACTGCCTCCGACATCGGCTGGTTTCTTAACTGGGCCACCCTCCTCCTTTCAAAGTTGTGAAACTTGTACTTTTGAAAATCAGAATCAATTATGGCCTGTCTCCAGGTTTGAATCCTGTTGCTGTCAGTTTGGAGGGTGAGAGAACTTTTATTCCCAGCAGTGCTATTTGTGAAGCTCATCTTGCTATGATAAAGGAAACTGAACTTTACCTTCTTTGGTTGGGACTGGTATTGTTTTGCCCGGTGGCGTTGGCATGTCTCCTGACATGACACTGAAACCACATGTATAGTTAATTGGTTGGCTGTGGCAGGGTTCAGTGTCTCATGGGAGGCCTGTTGGAACCCTGCCTCTGACGACAGCCTCGTGTCTTTCCAAGCCTTTTGCTCTGGCCTTCAGAAGTGCTTATTTTTTTCTGTTGTTAATCCTATACTGGACTTGAAATATTGCAGAATTCTGTCAAAAGAATTGGGTGCATTAGTGCTTATCCTATCCGAGAGACTTCAAAAGTTTATATACGTGTTGTTGTTGTTTGGTTGCTAATTCTTGTCCAACTCTTTGTGACCTTATGAACTGCAGCCATGCCCGACTTCCCTGTCCTTCACTATCTCCCACAGTTTGCTCAGACTCATATCCGTTGAGTTGGTGATGCTGTCTAACCATCTCATCCTCTACCACCTGCTTTTCCTTTTGCCTTCACTCTTTCCCAACATCAGGGTCTTTTCTAATGAGTTGGCTTTTCGCATCAGATGGCCAAAGTTGGAGCTTCAGTATCAGTCCTTTCAATGAGTATTCAGGGTTGATTTCCTTTAGGACTGACTGGTTAGATCTCTTTGCAGTCCAAGGGGCTCTCAAGATCTTCTACAGCCGCACAGTTCTGAAGCATCATTTCTCTTAGCTTTCTTTATGGTTCAACTCTCACATCCATACTTGAGTACTGGAAAAACCATAGCTTTGACTGTACAGACCTTTGTTGGCAAAGTGATGTCTTTGCTTTTAATACACTGTCTAGGTTTGTCATAGTGTTCCTTCCAAGGAGCCAGCATCTTTTAATTTCATGGCTTCAGTCACTCTCGGCAGTGATTTTGGAGCCCAAGAAAAGAAAATCTGTCACTGCTTTCACTTTCCCCCCTTCTAATTTGCCATGAAATGATGGGCCTGGATGCCATGATGTTAGTTTTCTGAATGTTGAGTTTTAGGCCAACTTTTTCACTCTCTTCTTTTACCCTCATCAAGAGACTCTTTAGTTCCTCTTCATTTTCTGCCTTTAGAGTGGTATCATCTGCATGTCTGAGGTGGTTGGTACTTCTCTGAGCAATCTTGATTCCAGCTTGTGCTTCATCCAGCCCAGCATTTCAAAAGATGTACTCTGCATTTAAGATACGTAAACAGGATGAAAATATACAGTCTTGTCATACTCTTTTACCAGTTTTGAACTCATCAGTTGTTCCATATGAAGTTCTAACTGTTGCTTCTTGACCTGCATACAGGTTTCTCAGGAGACAGGTAAGGTGGTCTAGTATTCCCATCTCTTTAAAAATTTTCCACAGTTTGTTTTGATCCATATAGTCAAAGACTTTCACATAGTCAACAAAGCAGAAGTAAATGTTTTTCTGGAATTCCCTTGCTTTCTCTACAATCCAGCAAATATTGGCAATTTGATCTCTGGTTACTCTGCCTTTTCTAAACCGTGTTTGTACATGTAGAAGTTCTTGGTTCATGTACGATTGTATGGTAGTTTGAACATTCTTTAGCACTGCTCTTCTTTGGAATTGGAATGAAAACTGATCTTTTCCAGTCCTGTGGCCCCTACTGAGTTTCCAAATTTACTGACATATTGAGTGCAGCACTTTAACAGCATCATCTTTTAGAATTTTAAGAGGCTCAGCCGGAATTCTATCACCTCCACTGGCTTTGTTTGTAGTAATGCTTCCTAAGGCCCACTTGACTTCAGATTCCAAGATGTCTGGCTCTAGGTGAGTGACCACATCATCATGGTTTTCCCAATGAATATGAACAGTATAAAAAGCAAAAAGATTTGACACTGGAAGATGACCCCCGCCCCCACCCCCCATCAGAAGGTGTCCACTATGCTACTGGGAAAGAGCAGAAGGCAATTACTGTTAGTTCCAGAAAGAATAAAGCAGCTGAGCCAAAGCAAAAACAGCACTCAGTTGTGGACCTGTCTGGTGGTGGAAGTAAAGTCCAGTGCTGTAAAGAACAATATCGCATAGGAACCTGGAATGTTAGGCCCATGAATCAAGGTAAATTGGAAGTGGTCAAACTCCAGGAGATGGCAAGAGTGAATGAATATCAACATTTTAGGAATCAGTGAACTAAAATGGACCAGAATGGGTGAATTTAATTCAGATGACCATCATATCTGCCACTGTGGGCAAGAATCCCTTAGAAGAAATGGGGTAGCCTCATAGTCAACAAGAGAGTCCGAAATGCAGTACTTGAGTGCAGTCTCAAAAACGACAGAATGATCTTGGCTTATTTCCAAGGCAAACCATTCAACATCACAGTAATACAAGTCTAGGCCCCAAACACTTACGCCAAAGAAGATGAAGTTGACCGATTCTGTGAAGACCTATAAGACTAAAATTTTAAAAAGATGTCTTTTTCATCGTAGGGGATTAGAATGCAAAAGTAGGAAGTCAAGAGATACCTGGAGTAACAGATAAGTTTGGCTTTGGAATACAAAATGAATCAGGGCAAAGGCTAATAGACTTTTGTCAAGAGAACACAGCAATCCTAGCAAACACCCTTTTCCAACAACAGAAGAGATGACTCTCTGCACAGACATCACCAAGTTGTTAGTACCAAAATCAGTTATATATAGTACACTGTCATAAACCATTATGCCAGCAACTAGGACTTTGCTCAGTGCTTTTATTTTCTTGTTGGTGTTTACAATGAGTGTATTTTATTACCATGAGATTTGATCTACATGACTCATACATAATATAATAACAAAATACTCAGTCTTTGTTTTTAGCATAATTACTGAGGACAGATTACTGGGTGGGTTTTTTCTTGGTTTATCAATTATGGTAATGAAGAAGTCATGAACATAACTCAGAAACACTTCGCTTTGTTCATTTCTTAAAAGAAACATGTTTTATGGGAAGCAGCATGGTATAAATGAAGGATTCAGACAGACCTGGAATTAAATCCCAGTTATTCCATTTGTTAGTTATATGATCTTGAGCAAGTTACTTAACTTCTCCAAGCCTTACTTTTCTCTTACTTATAAAATGGAACCAGTATTTACTTTTCAGGTTTATTATGCAGTTTGGAAGTAATCTATCTAAAGTTCTTACTTCGTATGAGAGCTCAGTAAATGTTAGCAGCTTTTAAAATTATATTCATTGTTCTTTTTATTATAAAATGCATTATTATTATTAAGTCTGCTAAGCACCTAGCACAATAACTGACATATATAATAATACTTTCCCTCCTTCCTTAATCTAAATCGCTTGATTATTTATAAAAAATATATTTGAGACTCATAGATATTTTAAAATTAGGGGATGTGAAATACACATTAATTAGTTTGAAGTTTTATATGGTCATTTGATCAGGTATATAATTAACACTTTATTAAGCTGGATAACTAAGACCTTACTGTACCCTGAAACCTCACTGTTGTGCTTAGTCTCTCGGTCATGTCTGACTCTCTGTGACCCTGTGGACTGTAGCCCACCAGGCTTCTCTGTCCATGGGGACTCTCCAGACAAGTATATTGCAGTGGGTTGCCATGCCCTGCTCTAGGGGGGTCTTCTCAACCCAGGAATCACACCCAGGTCTCCCACGTTGCAGGCAGATTCTTTACTGCCTGAGCCACCAGGGAAGCCAAAACCCTCACTCGGTTGGACTATTGACAGAAATACTAGTTTGATTTGCAGGGGTTTTTTTTTTTCTAGATTTTGTTTTGAGTAACTCCAGTTGCCGTTATTAGTTGTTAACTGTTATTATTCACTGGTTCCACCCAACTTTGGTTTTCAGTTTCTATAAACTATTTCCAAGCTTCAAGGCATAATGGTTTTAGTAGGTACATTTATTTACTTATAAGCAACAAACTCATTATCTTTGTTTCTTAAATTGGTAACAGAGATGCTGCTCTTTTAATCTACTTTTGTTTGACAAAATTTTTCTTCATAGTGTGTAAAGTTGTAAATCATGGTCTAGTAATTATGAATTCTGATTTATGAAAGCACAGATTAATGAGATTTTATTTTTCTTTGGAGAGAAGGGAACATGCTCTTCATCAATATTAATATTGCTTTCATGAAATCTTTAACTGTGCTTTGCTTAACTTTTCAATTAAAATATTTTGTATTTAAGGTCTCGTTTAAATCCAGAGCATTTTAGCTTTTTCTCTTACGAAATTGGCTTAGGTATTTTGTATGTTATCCTTTGCTGACAAAGGTCCATATAGTCAAAGCTATGGTTTTCCCAGTAGTCATATACAGATATGATAACTGAACCATAAAGAAGGCTGAGTGCTGAAGGATTGATGCTTTTGAACTGTGGTGTTGGAGAAGACTCTTGAGAGTCCCTGGACAACAAGGAGATCAAACCAGTCCATCCTAAAGGAAATCAACCCTGAATATTCATTGGAAGGACTGATGCTGAAGCTCATGCTCTAATACTTTGGTCACCCGATGCGAAGAGCTGACTCATTGGAAAAGACGCTGATATTAGGAGAGATAGAAGGCAGGATAAGAAGGGTACGACAAAGGATGAGATGTTTGGATGGCATCAGGGACTCAATGAAGATGAGTTTGAGCAAGCTCTGGGAGATGGTGAAGGACAGAGAAGCCTTATGTACTGCAGTCTGTGCGGTTGCAAGGAGTCGGCCATGACTGGGACTGCACAACGGCATGTTTATCCTTAAAGTTTAACACTGTTCCTTTTTGATATTTATTCTGTTCTTAAGGTTGACTTTCATTTTCAATAGCTTATTTGTACCTAATCATGTACTTAAGTCCTTTTAATATTGATTCTTCCTCCCATTTTCACCTAAATATGTTGATCTTCCTTTCACACACAGACTAATATGCTATTTCTGAGAGAATTTAGTAGCTTTTTCTTACTATATTTGCAGACTGCCTCATAATAGTAGCTTTCTATGTATTAACTCCCCTCTCCCTTCCTGTCCCCTATCTTTTCTTAAAAATAATAATGGTTCACATTTTAATGGAAAGTTTTAGATAAGTTATCTTCATTGTTTCCTTTAATCATTACTTATTTTGTGTAAATTTCAGGATTAGAATGGCTGAATACAGAAGAACCTATTTCGGTCTACAAGGATCTATGTGGAAAAGTGGTTGTCCTTGATTTCTTCACCTACTGCTGCATAAACTGTATTCACCTGTTGCCTGATCTTCATGCATTAGAACACACATACTCTGATAAAGGTATCTGCTCTTTTTAATTGGTTTCTAACGGACTGTCCTGGCATAGTCGCTGGAGAGTGGCTGACTCATTTTGCTCATAGGAGAATGAACATTTGGCAAGACTTCAGGGATTCTGAAAGTAATTTCTAATCTATAAATTGAGGACTCCGTGTACCTTTTTGTGAAGAGTTAAGTTTAATGATAATGGTTTGCCTTCCTAAAGAGCCAGCATTTAGTATATGATTTTTCTTTAAAAATAAGGATATAGTTTACTTTTTTCATGATCAGGTATTTTAAAAACGTCTTTTTGTACATCTGGACTTACCTAAATTTGTTCTGTGAAAAAAAGAGAAAATAAAATGCATGACTAATTTTATACTCTTCTCACTGTGATAAAAAGGTTTAAAGTTCTTTTTAGGAAATATAACTAGGCTTCCTTTGATTTCAGATGACCTAAAACTACTACTGATATTTTAGAAGGCAGAATATTATAACAGATACTTTTTCTTTGACCCTGCTTTATTTATTTATAAAGGTTAAGGCTTTCCAGAGCACACTAGGAAATCCTTTTTTATGGTATTACAAATTTTGAAATTTTAACAAGAGATTATGCTTAGTATTTTCTTTAAAACTTTGACTTTTTCAGATTTTGTTTTTTGTTTACTTCTTTCTATAAAAAGAGAACATGTGGAGTAAATGAAATAAAGACTTCATTTGATTAGGCTTAAATTAATTGAAGCTGTCCTCTTTGCAGTGACTAAAAAGTGTTCACTGATCTTGTGAGAGTAAAAATGAGAATAGAGTATGCATGTACAAAAATGAAGGGTATCTTGAAACTTAGTTATTTGAAAAAAAAGAAATATTGAATAAAATCTTCAGTGCAAGTGAAACTTCTGATGCTTTTAATTTGTAATGGACTATATTGGAATTGCCTGTTAATGAGATTTATCAAAAACTCAATTATTCCCAGTAATTAAATCATGTTTTTAAAAATTCATCCATATTTAAGAAATAAGAGTATTTCATTATCTCCTAGGTTTTAGATGCTTGTGTGTCTTGTTCAAGTCCATGTAATAAATGCATTTATTGAGTATGTATTATGTGCAGGATACTCTAACTGCTAAGGAAATATATAACAAAGTTGAATTAAAGCAGTGGGGAAAGGAGTAACTCACTTTGCCTAAAAGCTTTGGAAGATGTTTCTCAGAGAAGGCAATTAGGTTGAAACTTGAAAAATGAGCAGAAGTGTAGCTGAAAATGAAAATGGGGCAGGAGGGACACTCCTGGCTGAGGAAGTGACAGGTAAACAAGCAGGGAAGCAAAGAAGGACTAAAGTTGAAGGAGGAATACTTGGTTTACATTTTATATTTCTGTTTGAGTTCTTGCCATATTAATGTATTACCTTTATATAAAATGCTTTTATAAAAATTTTAAAAGAAACAGATTAAGCATCTTAAAAATTATTTAAGTTAGATTTATAGCTAATATGAGAGGCAGTTAATTCCCCTGATCCATTTAATCAAATTAGGAAATTTTACAATAAAACAATTAAACAGTGATACTCTTCATATAGTCAAAGATTAGAAATGTCCATGAAATGCTTTACTTATAATCCTCCTTCTAGGAAATTGCAAACATTTTCATCTCTCTTAGGTACCAAATGGAATGAGTAGATTTGGGGAGTGGAAAATAGTTTACTGTGGCAAGACTGTAGGGGCTCCTTGGAAAAGTGAAAGGAGAGGAGGGTAGATTAGGTTCAGACTCACTATGAAGAGCTTTGTATAACATTCTTAATAGTTAATAGACTTTTTCATCCATTGAAAGTACAGAGATGTTTCAGGTTTTTATTTGCATAATAGGAGAATGACAATATGATTTGTGTTTCAGGATGGCATTTACAGACTGGGTTAAAAATCCCAAAGTTAACCATTTCCTACTTCAGATCACTGCTAATAAACTGTTCGGTTAACTCAGTTGTTTAACCTCTATCTGAAGCAAATTCAGTGGCTTCTTAGAATGGATCCTTATAATCTCTTTTCCAGTTTACTGAAAATATTTTACAACACTTTGTGACAAAAAATAACAATTTTTACATATAAATATACTTCTGAAAAGTAAAATACTTTGTAAGTGGTTTCAACATTGTAATTTCAAACAAACATTACTTCAGTAATATGCTACTGTATTAAAATTCTGGTAACTTAGAAATAAAAGATTTTTATATTGCTTAGAAGATAAGTTCAGTTCATATTCACAAAAGCAGGCATAATCAGAATTACCATATGAAAGTTCAGTAAGCTGGCACTAAATTAATTTGCTTTCTTGCTGCTAAGAGTCTTTTAAAAAAATTTTTTATTGGAATATAGTTCATTTACAATGTTGTGTTAGTTTCAGTTTTAGCAAAGTGAATCAGTTGTACACACACACATATACTTTTTCAGATTCTTTTCTCATAATTATGTTATTACAGAATATTGAGTAGAATTTACTGTGTTTTATAGTAGGTTCTTGTTATTTTACATATATTAGTGTGTATATGTTAATTCTAGCCTCCTAATTTATCACGCTGCTGTGTCTTATCTCAGTACTGTCTGATATATTTATGAATGTATCTGCAGCCGTGTTATTTATGTCCTTGAAGAGGCATTCAGCAGCCTGTTTTTATTTCATGGAATTTCAGTTCATTTATCAGTAAGCCAGAAATGCTCATCTGAGTAAGTTAGTGGATCTTAATCTAAAAACACTCTGAAAGAGGGCTGATTTCGTACTCAGTCTCCTTCCTCTTAAATAGCTTTTAGAATCAGGTTTGTAATGGTGACCAGTATCACTTTCACAATAGCATACAAGAAATTATAAATGTCAAAGATCTAAAGCAAAAGTGAAAAGATACTTAACAGTAGTGAATGGTTCTGATGTTCAAACAGTTTTTAAGAATGTAGCTGGGCCCTAAGCTTGTTATTAATTTGTAATGAGTTAGCATATATTTGTATTAAATTGACAGGTACCTCTGGTTTTTTTTTTCCCCTTTTCTCCTTGAGGATTTCTAATTTTTTTTTAATCTCTTTATACTGTATATATTAATGGTATATTTTTATATAACACGCAAATTTAGCACAGTGGCTATCTAAGGAAAAGCACTGATTTTATAAGAAAACATCTAGTAGGAAAATTTGGCATACTTTTAAATGTGCTTGCTAGGTGAATGTTAATATATAATTAAATCAGACTCTAGAAATCTAAATTCCATAATACCTCTGAGTAACCACTGGTATTCTCATTATGTAGTATATGCTATTTTTTCATTTCATACTTTGTTAAAAATTAGAATATATTTCTGATTTTACAGTGAAAGTAAACTTTTTTAAAAAAATTTATTTTTAGTTGAAGGATAATTGCTTTACAGTATTGTGTTGGTTTTTGCCATATATCAACATGAATCAGCCATAGTTATACATATGTCCCCTCCCTCTTAAACCTCCCTCCCACCTCCCACCCCAGCCTTCCAGGTTGTCACAGAGCACCAGTTTGAGCTCCCTGAGTCATAGAACGAATTCCCAATGACTGTCTGTTTTACATATGGTAATATATATATTTCCATGCTACTCTCTCTATTTGTTCCACCCTCTCCTTCCCCCGCTTTGTCCACAAGCCTGTTTTCTATATCTTCATCTCCATTGTTGGCCTGCAAACAGGTTCATCAGTACCATCATTCTAGATTCCACATATATGTGTTAATATACAATATTTGCTTTTTTCTTTCTGACTTCATTTTGTATAATAGGCTCTAGGTTCATCCACCTCATTAGAACTGACTCAAATGCATTCCTTTTTATAGCTGAGTAATATTCCGTTGTGTATATGTACCACAACCTCTTTACCCATTCATCTGTCAATCAACAGCTAGGTTGCTTTCATGTCCTAGCATTGTAAATAGTATTGCAGTGAACATTGGGGTACATGTGTCTTTTTCAATTAAGTTCCCTCAGGGTATATACCCAGTAGTGGGATTGCTGGGTCATATGGCAGTCTTTTTTTTTTTTTTTTTTAAAGGCAATAAAATTTATTTTGTAATACTATACCACAAATATCTGCAATTTTAAACATCAAACATGTATCTCAGAAATCAGCAGTTGGAATGCAAAACAGCTTTATTTTTAAAAACAACAGAAGCATTTTATTCTATTGCCATTTCTGTGAGCATAAGAAAAGTATTTTACAGATGAGTAATCATATGCACTGAAATCAAGTGTTTATCACCAAAATTCATACAAGCCACCAATGTCCTGAATACTCATTGTGAAGCTGACTTATCATTAGAGCTGGGAAGTAATGAAATGGCAGCATTTTTCAATAATTAAACTCATATTTAGATTAAACATTTTACAATAACAGGGACTGAAGACTAGAAATAAGATATAATAACTAAACTTATATTAAACAATTTATATTTGACTTGAACAAGTTTCAGAGGTACTAACCAATGTCTGTAATCTCATGAACAAATCATTTTGAAAATTTACTGAACAGTTGTCTATCTGATAGCCACAAAAGGGAAGTTCCTTTTAAGAACTTTAGTGGTAAGAGAGTTTCCTGAATGGACTGGAAAGTCACACTGCAACAAATCACGGAAGAAAAGCATGAGATTTTGCAGGTAAAGATCTTTGTAAATGTCAGCCTCCCAATGATCTCAGGTATGGATCTGATTTTCACATGCTGCCACTGATTTTCTCATGTGCTACCAAGGGACAGACCCTTTCCATTTACAGTTATATGAATAAATTTTTACATGAAAGAAGACCCTCCCAAATTTGGAAATACATGGGAGTAGGTCATCTTCAGTTCAGTTCAGTCACTCAGTCGTGTCCGACTCTTTGCGACCCCATGAACTGCAGCACGACAGGCCTCCCTGTCCATCACCAAGTCCCAGAGCCTGCTCAAACTCATGTCCATTCAGTCGGTGATGTCATCCAACCATCTCATCCTCTGTCGTCCCCTTCTCCTCCTGCCTTCAATCTTTTTTT